GCGGGAAGCCTGCTTCTCCCTCTCCCACTCCCCTTGCTTGTGTTCCTGCTCTCGCTATGTCTCTCTCTGTCAAATAAATAAATAAAATCTTAATAAATAAATAAATAAATAAATAAAAATAGAGCTTCTTAACAAAAACAAATGTCAATGTTAATAAGCCATGTGATCCAGTTGAGTGTATAATAATACTGTGTAACTCTCACATGAGATGTTGTGGAATGGGCTGAGATTAATAGCTCTTCTGTCTGCTCTGTAAATTCACATGTGTGAGTGTTGATGGCTGGGTGAGCTTTCTTTTTTTCCCTTTCATATCTCAACCGGAGTTGTGGCCTTAAGCTCTCTAGGGTATTTCATTCTTACAGCAGACAGATGCTAACTGTGTGCTGCAAGGCAAAAGAAACTCATGGTACATATTTAAAAAGGTAGGTATGGCTAGAGCAGGAATATATTTGCCCCTTTCTTATTATTGTTCAAGTAAATCACTTTGGCAGAGCGTTGGCAATGAGTGTCTCATTAATGGGGCATTTGTGTTAAACGGAGCACTGTACAAACCTGGAGTAAACATTTGATTGATATGCCTAATAGGGCAAACTAAATTCTCACAGCAAAAGCAGAATATTCCCATCCAAACTATATAAATACTCTCAGTAATTTATTTTTAAATTGTTTCAATTTATCTTATGGACCTTATTTGCCACAATTTCTGGGATGCAGAAGAAGTGAATGTTTGCCAAAGCTAAAGATGCAAATAGGTATAGAATTCATCTTTGCCATATCAAGGGCTAGCCCTATTCTGCTATGTGCATCATAGTTATAACCTCCAGGCCCATCAGTGTTGTATTTTATACCATGAATTAAAAGAGCCATTTATCACCTTTAAGTTGGTTTGAATAGCATTAGATTCGTCTGATTAATTTACATAAAAACAGGATAATTCAGAAACTGAAGAAAACTGTGTTTCTATTATGAATTATCCAGTGAGTATTATGCCTTTCATGACCTCTCCCAACTGCCGAGTGATAAAGTTAATCATTTATTATGTTTTCTTGGAGAGAAATAAAACCAAGGCTAGTAAAAGCAGGAAGTAAGAATATACTCAGAGATCTATAATCACCATATCTTTTTAGTATTAGAAAACAAAAATTTTAAAAACTTTTGTTACTATGAAATAAAATATGTACACTAAAGGGCACAAAACAATGTGTGCCATGATTTATCACAAAGTGAACACTGTGTAACCATTCAGGTCAAGAAAAAGAACATTGCTAACCCTTCAGAACAATATCCCAATGTTTTTAAGCCGCATAAGAGGAGTAAGGAAATAATTTAGGCTTAACAATTTTAGTTGTTATGTATATGTACTTGTTTCCTTTGAGTAACAGTAACTATATATTAACACTAGTCTGTAATTAATTAGTCTGTGATTTAAGTAGAAGATACTTGGTAAAAGAACATATTATAGAAGCAAATCTACCTATTGCAGTGTTTCCTGACATAGAAAATAGCAATATTTGTATGGCAAACTGGAGTAAACTAGAGGAAATTTGGGGCCATATGTACGGGATTCTGTAGAGAGATTCATTACATTATCTTCCCTATGATACAATTTTGATAAGAAAATAAAATAGATTGTTTAAAGAAAGATATAAAATTAAATGTAGATAACCTTAAATTTAGAAATATGAATATACTTCCATCAATATAACTTTTTGTCTCAGTTTTTGTGTTTGAAAGCTTATATATCATTCTAATCAAAACATTTTAACAATGATCTTTTCAAATTTATTTATAGCTGCTGTCAACAAAAAATTATATTTGCACAAGTAGAGAATAAAAATTTTGAAACAACTTTTACAACCATTAAAAATTTTTCAACATTTGATTTTAAATATAGCAATTCTTTTGTTTATTTCCTTTCCAAATTTACCATTGGAATTTCATGGGGATGCTATATATTTAAAATTTACCTAAATTTTATATGTCAAGTATTATAAAATAATACTGAAATTCTAAATTAGAAAATACATGTCCTTTAGAGATGTTATCATGCATCTACATTGCCACAAATGGGTAAAAGTATTTAATGTAGGGGAAGATACACCTACCAGGAGCTCCTGGCTTTCTTTCTCATTATCTGTTCTTCTATGGCCAAATTTTGGTAGGCATGCTATGCTAATTAAGCACATAGAACATGAATTCCTTCAGCACATCCATAGATCCCTTTCTCATGATGAAAAGGGACATGCTTGCAGCAAGCTGCTGAAGTAGGTATCAAGGTGCTAGACACTCAGCTAGGTTGAGCTCACTGCCCTGAGGCCAGACCAATGAGTGATAATCATGATTGCCTAAATGCCAATCTAGTTGGGTCTTTCTCTCAGGACCCCAGGATAAAGCTATTTGCATGGCCTTCCCAGTGGTTGAGAAGACAAATATCTTGAGGGACATCTATAATTCCATTTGGAAAGCTCTGATCTACAGAAAAGGAGGTAAGAGAAAAATCAAAGTGTGTACACTGAAAGACTTTGAGGTGGATGAATAATTAAGAAGGACTTTTGTTGAATAAACTAGACAGAGTTTTGACTTCAATATAGAATTGAATTATTAAAATTGAAGAAATATGTGCTATTAATTCCAAATATTAAAAATTATTGGTTGTTTCTAGTGAAAGTAGATAATTAAATGTAGTCATATACAAGTATTTATCAACAATCTTTCTTTCTTTAGAACAGTTCTTTATTTTATTTTTTATTTTTTTTAAAGATTTTATTTATTTGACAGAGAGAGACACAGCGAGAGAGGGAACACAAGCAGAGGGAGGGCAGAGGGAGAAGCAAGCTCCCTGCTGAGCAAGGAGCCCAATGCGGGGCTGATCCCAGGATCATGACCTGAGCCGAAGGCAGACACTCAACCAACTGAGCCACCCAGGCATCCCTAGAACAGTTCTTTTAAAACATGCATTTACTGACTGAGTTTTGGAGTATTCCTGTTTCCATTTCCAAGCATGCTCCTGCTTCCTTTATGCTCTCAAACACTGACATTTTCATATGGAAAGTCCAAGATATAACTGCTTTCTAGGTTCCTGAAGT